CCATCCATTCAAGGATTGGTAATGTAACAACTGGGCATATTATCAGCACAGCTGTACAGGCTAAGCAAGACTGTTTAACTTTGTCAATTGTGATTTAATGCTGTTTATTGAGTTTCTGTTGTGATTCTTTGCAGTTAGGTTATTGGTTAGCTGGCTTCGCCAAAGCTAAGGGATGTTAGTTTGCTAATGCTTTTCACAGGCAGAGTCTTGCATGCATCCAAACATCCTCTGCCCTAACCCTGGCCCTTTGCAACACATAGCACATTCACACTAATTTACAAATTGGCTTTCAACAGAGCTACACCCAAAGAGGCAACACAAAGTTCCCGCTTCTTTTCCTTTGTCTTTGTCCTGACTGACCACACAGTCAGGCAGACCTCCCCGATCTGAAGCCACCTTTGAATCGATCTCTGTTGTCAGCCATTTTATCTGTAGGCCAAACAGCCTTTTGTTTCACCACCACCGCCCCGCCCCCCGTCTCTCTCTCTCTCTCTCTCTCTCTCTCTCTCTCTCTCTCACACACACACACACACACACACACACACACACACACACACACTCCCACATACACATCCATGCTTGTATATACTTAGTTAGTATTTGAGTATTTGTGTGTTTCATTTGCTTTGCTTTCTTTATGAATAAATATATTTGAAATCATACCTTCTGTCTGTTTAATATTGCACAAGAGTGAATGAATAGTCAACCTCTGCCATGTCAAGAACTCTAAAAACCTTCAGGCTTTACTATTAATTTGGTTATGGGTATTAATTTAATTATTAGTCAAAATTCCAAATTGATAGTTTAGGGAACTTTATGAGACTCATATCATTAACTGGCTATCATTTTCCCTTCTTGGGAATGGTGCCCCATGAGGTGATTTAATATAAATGAAGTCACATTATTTAACACACTTAATCATTATTAACAATAAGATCTGTTATGACGTCTGGCCCGTGTTGAGGCTTAGATCCCAAAAATGTTGCCGTTGTGTGAGACATAGTTCTATTTGTCATCCCAACAAATGGTGCCGCCATATGAAACATAGTACTGTTGTCATTCACAACAAATAGTGCCCCTTGGTGAAGCACAGATCACAACAACACAATGGGTGGTTAATTTTTTTTTTTTTAATTTAACCTTTATTTAACCAGGAAGTCCCGTTGAGATTGAAAATCTCTTTTGCAACAGAGATTTGGCCAAGGTAGCAGCCAATCAGGACACATTTAAAATGCAACAAATACAATATGTAATACAAAAATCCACAATAAAACAACAATTATTCAAACAAAGTGGCCTCTCAAGAAAAACAAGCACATGTTTCTGTCACCACATTCTTTATGATGCCCTTCAATTCATTGATGGATATGTTATGAGCCCTCAGGTAGTATAAAAAGTGAGAAAGTCCATGTCAGAAGGAGTCCAGGGTGGACAAGTAAAGAAACACCAGACTTTTACCTGGGAGACTGTGGTTCATGTCCCAGGTGAAAATGAGACAATAGCCTGTTTGACTTTAAGTTTCATTCATTAAGTCTTTCCTTGCATATCTTGCTCCATCTTCAGTGGGAGGGACAAATACCAAAGGAGAAGACAGAAATGAGAAAAAGAGGGAGACACCTTGACTTCTTTTAATCAGCATTTTGCAGTGCTACAACAATGTAACACTAGTTCTGCCTTTGCTACCAAGACTTGTCACTCATTCTTTGCTCAACTGCTAGTAGTCACTAGTCTAGGTTAACAAGGTTTCTTTCTTTAGTTATGTTATTATTTTTCTGGCAAGGACAGTCTCTGTCAACACGTTGCTGCCATATGGATTGTCCTCATATCACAAGCTAAACTTGTCTTTATCAAAGTGAGACGTATGACAAGTAAACCTGGACATGACCTGGGACTTGGGCACCCTGGGGATTCTAGATTGAGTGTTTTTCGAGAAATATTAAGATTTTGTTGTAGTAATGTTCAATCCACTTTGGAAGGTGAACTACAAACACAAACCAGCACAAAGTGGTGATATATGAAAGGACGAATTGTTCCTTTAATGCAAAGAGAGAGAGCATGATGAGAGAGAATGATGTATCAGGTGGGTAAAGGTCAATCTCTCTCTTTCTCCCTCTCTGTAAGGACTCGGGGAAGAAATACACAGCAATCACTGTAGCATGAGTGAGGCAGATTAACAGCCAGCTTTAACTGAGCTCTCACTTTCACATTCCTGTCTGCCCCCAGCTGTTTCCACTGCTGGAGACAAACATATGGAGAGCACTGCAGCAGCATTACAACACACTCTACAGAAAGATTGCAGATGACTGTATTACTTATTAGGGTTTCACTCTTAAATCATTATGACATCACAGTACACAGTACACATAACCATGGGAGTAAATCTAAGAAAATCTTTTATAGTAAAATCTCAGGTAGTGGCCTTTATTTACTTCAACTGCAGAGAGAGCCAGGCCATTATTTGAAACAGAATTATTTTGGAGACAGGCTTGTACCTCTGATTTCCTATTTTATGACTAGATTTGATCTAGATCCATTTTCTAAATTGCTTCTCTTTAAGGTTTTTGTTTTGATTGCTGCCGCCAAAAACCTTTTCATTAGATTAATCTACTACATTTTTTAACTTATAGAATTCTGTGCACATTTCTCAAATTACAAAGTTTTGCAGAAATCTGTTAAATAATTTAGTAAAATGGACATTAATATGTTTAACATTGTCACAGTGTGCACTTCTGGCCTGCCATACATGCTATTCTTTCAGTTCACTCAGTATATTTCCACTCACCCCTCCTCTTCACACCTACTGTACCTGCTGGCCTATCATGTTTTTTGCCATATCCACAAAGACTTTACAATGTTTGTCCCCGAACTGTTTTCTCATTGCCGACCTCTCCTGACTCTGACTCTCCTGCTTCATTTGCTCCCTGGTAAACCACTCAGCCTTCTGTCCTCGACCAACAGACCCTGCTTCTGCATTACTGGTTTCTGTTCCCCGAGGCTGTGTGGAGAGACCATCACCCAGCTGTCCGTTGTTTACCTATTCTGTCACCTGTGATTTCCTGTGCTGTGGATTACCTCGCCACGTGGCTACACATTTTGGCTTTGTGCGTGTCCCACGGGATCCACTCATTGTCGCAGCTGGTTGTTTGACTGTTTGCCAGAGCCACCCTACTTACACTACTGAACTGTTTTCTGGTGTGTGTGTCTAGCAGGCGCCGGCTACTCACCTGCTTTCTGCTTTGGCGAGCCACACTGAAAGCCCTGGACTGAACCTGTTTCTCAGAGGGGTCCAAAGCAATGTACTGTCTCTCCCAATTGTTTCACCTGTCTGCTCATTCTGTGTTTATCAAATCAATGCATTAAAGTTCATTATAAACTGTCCTGCCTGTCATCACTGCTGGTTCTGAGTCCTAAACCCACCCATCACAACCATTTTAAAAGAATGTGTGATCAGTTTTATTGTGTTAGTAATATTTACATTTCTTCTGACTAGTGCTGAATGTGTGATACAGAAGAATCAGAAAATGCACACCTGTAATCTTACAGTGCAGAAATCTTCACAGTATGTACAGGAAGTATCTCTTATGTATATTTGGCATAAGTACCAGCTAGATGTGGTTAACACAATATTTACATGCTACAAATGCATACAGGGAAAATCTAGCTCACTGGAGACATGCCCCATACCAGCCTGCTTTGAAACCTTCGCCATCAACTCTGTCCCCCAAAAAAACAAGGACCACAGGACTTAACAACTACAGACCAGTCACCCTGACCTATGTGGTTATGAAGTCCTGTGAGTGCTTTGATCTCTCCCACCTCAAAACTATCACCGGCCCACTCCTGAACCCCATACAGTTCCCCTACAGAGCCAACAGGTCTGTGGATGATGCAGTCAGCGTAGCACTCCACTAAATTCTCCAGCACCTGGAGACCTCCATAACCTGCACACCTCCAGAACCCTGAGGCGGGCAGGAAAGATTGTGGCTGACCCCTCCCACCCTGGACAAAAGCTCTCTGTTACACTCCCCAGGCAGGTAGAAAATCCCCACGGAACAAAAACAGTTTCTTCCCGACTGCAGTGGGCCTCATCAGCAACGCCCAGCACCCCCACTGACATTGGCAAACTGACATTGGTGTTTTCAGACCTAGAGTTTGCTTGCTTTAGTTCGAATCAGGGACTATTTTTTGCTACAAAGTTGCATAATTGCCTGAGTTTATTTGTGTTCACAAGGCAGCATTTACAAGTGGACCAGATCAAATACCTTGCAGGAGAAAGCTGCTCTTGATTGGTCAGGATTTTATTGCGGGAAAAATTCATGAAGTGAAGAAGAGTTGAAGAAAGGGCAACTACATGGGTTGATTTTAGTGCTGGGCATTGTGTACTATATATTGCTTGGAAACAAGGCGTGGCTTCAACTAGAAAACAATGTTTTGATGCACTGGGTGTGCTGAATGCGCATATTAAGGCAGTACAGGAGGACTATTGTCTTTGCACATTGTACGTATTTGCTCCACTGTGAACTTCACACGTCCCTTGATTAATATTTTGGCATTCTCTGCATGAAACTGTTTCAGCTCTCATTCTGTAACTGCTATACTGTAAATATTTGTTATGTTATAGTACTTTTTGAAAGCATCTTTGCATTTGTATTGTCATTTTTCTATTCTATGTTTAAGTTCTTGAGTGTTGAAGTACTTTGCCTTATTTTTATTTGCCTTAGTATTTTGATTGTATGTTTTATGTATGCATCAAAAACCAAAGCAAATTCGTTGTAAGTGAAAACCTACTTGGTAATAAATTCTTTTCTGATTCTGATTTCTGATTCTGCGCTCAGCTTCCTTTAGTAAGCTATTATATTTTGTGAGGCAAGTGGCCCATCCCTTAATGTTACATGTCATTTAATTGGAAATCTGACAGAATGCACAGTACAATCAGTTAATGTGGGCGGGTTGTGGAAAACTGACGTCAGTGTGGTTGGTCGGTGACGGCGGAGGAGGGACCACAGACCGAACTGATCCCACGTGTGACGGAGCGCTGCATTCCCGGTTTGCTGACACTGTAGCTCTGCTCCATCTGCCGACCTACCGTCTGTGTGTATCCGTTAGTCACTGCCTGTAGCTGGGTCAGATATGGAAGGAGACGGAAGCCAAGCCACGTCTGGAAACCCGACTGATCCGCAACACGACCCGGGGTAAGGTTACAGCCTGTCAATATAAACACTGAATTTATCATTAGTTATTTTTAAAATTGCAAATTTGCAGCTTGATTTCGCACTGCCGGCTCCACTGCCTTCCGGGTCCCGTCAACTACACCTTTGTTTGGTTATATTATCAAACAGGCCTGCCCCCTTTTGCAGAATATACGCTTGGCTGGCCCCGATATGTGCTGTTAGTGCGCGTGTGGAAAGAACACACGCCAAACTTCGTTTGGAAATGTGGGAGTTAAGTGCTTTGGCACTTCATGGCTAAACTACCTGGGTTAAAGAAGAATGATCAATAATATATACAGAGATAAAGCTAGCTCCGGTAAAATCGGCATAATGTCTCCCCGCTTAGTCGCACTTAATATTAAAATAACACAAAAAATGCGTTTAGTTCACGCTGCTCCTTACCACCCAGATGTTTTGATAAAGGAAGCAGACGATTCTCTATCAGCCGAACCGAATTTAAAAGTTTATCTAACGACATTATTAGTTGGTTTATTACATCTATGCCGAATTGAAGACTATGTTCATAGCAACACTCAACAACCCAAAGTTTTCGTCTACCAAGTATGTACCTCCGCCAAGATGCCAGGAGGTTATAACTGCCAGATGTTTTGAATGTAAGTTGGCATGACCCTTGGTCCATAGCGGAGAGAGGGGAACGTATTGGGGCTGCTGTTAGCCCGGCTTCGGGAACGTCTGTCGGGCAGCCTCTCCGCTGCATTGCCTCTATTTTTGTCCCCGGCTTTTACCTTTCTACAACCACTCAAGTATTTAACTTAACATCAAAATGGCCGTTTTGAAATCTAAATGTACTTCTGTTGCTTTTTCCTTGACAGGAAAATGTTTATCGGTGGCCTCAGCTGGCAAACTTCACCAGGTAAGAACCGCGTCTCGAGCTGTGTGTATGTGTGCGCGTGCACACGGCGCAAGGTTATTTTGATTTCAAGTCCTCCATTCGACCCCTGTGTAACACGGGGACATCCACTGCTGACGACATTGATTCATCTTATTTAACCGGGAAATTAAGACGTAACTAACCCTCGCTGTCGTTGTGTTTTCTTTCCACAGACAGCCTTAGAGATTATTTTAGTAAATTCGGGGAAATCCGAGAATGTATGGTGATGAGAGACCCAACGACGAAACGTTCCAGGTAAATGAACAGTTTGATTCCCAGCGTTAGAAAATAATGGGGAAACTGAGTTCGTTTTGCTTTCTAGAGTGATATTAATGCCATGCAGCCATTTAACTGGATTTTCTATTGAATGAAAAGGCAATGCAGTTTGACATTGACCATGGCGCTGTGGAGAATATTCCCACTACTCACTACTGCCATTCCCCGCATTTAAAATGTTTTTATGTGTTCAGTAAGGTCATTACAGTTAAAATCAAAGTGAAAAGTAATTCCAAATTATTGCATTGCACTGGAATATAAGTAGGGACTGTTCTTTACTTATCAGGGGAGGGGGGATGGCTGAGGTGTGACTTTTTGTTTTATTCATTTATTTTTTTAGCCTCCCTGATGCTACAGAAATTTTTCCCTGAGCCTTGCTGAGTAACTGGGGGAAAATGCATGACTCTCCCTCCACCATAAATAAGTTATTAGACTTGTAAAACTTACCCTTCGATGTTAGAAGTTAAAGACAAAATCCTGGAGTTAAAAAAAGCCTTGTTTTTCACATTTGTCATGCATGCTGGTTAGTTTGTGCAAACAGTCTATATATTTATTTGGCCAAATTTTAAATGAGATGTAGAATATAGTGTTTTTGATAAAAAAAAAATCACTATGTAAACTCAGATTTGATTTTTTTTTTCTTGACAGAAACGTTAGTCACACATGACGTGTCCAAGGACTGTTGGAAATTTTAAAATCCAATGATAATTTCTGTTTTTACAGTTTCTTGCTATGATAAATGGTGTATTTTGGCTTTTTTTAAAAAAAAGAAACCATGCCTTCTAAACCCGCCTGCATCTTCAAAAAATAAATAAAAAAATCTGTAAGAAAATAAAAAAAACAGTCCCTCCTCAGGGCTTAAAAATGTACATGCCTCCCCCTTTTTGCACCACTCCATCCCACCTCATAAATGATGGTCCCTTAGTATAGAGATAATAATCATTACCTTGTAAGTAATATGAATTCAAGAAATTGTTGATTAAGGTGTGGACACAAAAAGGGAAATAGAATGGGGAAATAAAAATGTATGAGACATATGCATGGGGCAGGTATAAACCATAGTGTGGTTTTCAGCATTTATCAGATGTGCAGTAAAGCAGCTCTTTGTGGTTGGAAAATGAAAAGTGTGAAGTATGACTTATCATATGTTAGAAATGTCATATGCTGTCATGTTGTTTCTCAACAGGGGCTTTGGCTTCATCACTTTTGCAGATGCTGCCAGCGTAGATAAAGTCTTAGCACAGCCGCACCACGAGTTAGACTCTAAAATGGTATGTTCACCCTTTTATTCTGATTGCATGAAAGACACTGACATGTTTTATTCTATTTGTGAAAAGTATTTTTCCATCAGGGCTGTGTATTATGTTCATAAACACCTGATGGTAGCGGAGCTTGTTTACAGGGAGTCCTGAGAGAGTGGAGGGAAACACAAGTGCTCACTTTATCCAGCTGTTCCAGTTGCTGAATATTGTTTCCAATCTTTCATGGCTCACAGAAACCAAAGTCTAACTGGGTTTTGATTTGGTTTGTGTTTCTGCGATTAATTTAATTTTCCTTTGGTTTTTATTTACAATATATCAAGCCAGAGCTGTGGTGCCTGAATATGGTCTCAGTCATAAGGTGGTGTTTTTTTTTTTCCTACTACCTCAAGTTTGGCTTAGTCTTCTCTATTACAATCTTTGGTCTCAACTGAGTCCACTTGTTGTTGTTGTTATTTATTTATTTATTTTTTGGCTGCTCTTACAGTTGAGTGGTGAGGCTGCTGTGCTCTCACTCATCCGTCAGCTCACCACAGAGACACAAAGTTCTTTAATGTCACATCACTGTTCTGTACCCCCATGTAATGCAGATACTGCTTATTTTACCATAATGTGTCTTTTTGTCATGTAACAATCAAGTATCCTCATTTAAGATGGGTTTAGTTTGAAGGACAAATGTTGGGAATATCAGACTTCAATATCTTGTAACGTTGTGCAAGAATATTTTATTTTCTAATGCAGTTCCTCTGGTTTATTTTTCTTAACACAATTTTAGTTTGTAGTAGGGTGTAAATCATCAGTTGCCTCATGATATGATATCATACAATGTCTTTGGACAACTATACGATATTTGCAGATATTGCAAAGTGTGCCAAAATATGATTTTGATTTGATTCAGTTCAATTCACAGGCCTGCGATTGATATGAGGTGGTGTGGGCCTGTTTCACACGATCTGTTACAGAAGAAGCTGCCACCTATTTCTTTTTTTTAAAAAAACAACAACACATAAATAATGTACATAATTGTAACCCCTCAAGTGCAGTAAAGTTCACTTTAAATTGACCCTTCAGAGTTAGCCTTCAGAGCATTCTGACAGAAAGGCCTTTCTGGATGAAATCTTTTCATTTTAACCCAAACCATCATCTTTTTCCTAAAACTTAAGGGCTATCGTTCTTAAAGACCCGAAAGCAAACCCCTCCCACCAGCCATAAAACATGGACTGACAAAAAGATCATTTAACAAAAGTACAAAATTCAACTTAATTATATCCCCATGTAAATTCCTCAAAGTGACTGATTTGAACAAGAATTTTTGGAACTGGTCCAGTATTGAGCAAGCAGACAGCATCCAGCAGCAGTAGGGCGGCTGCAATGGAAGCACACAAGGCAATTGAATACCGTCACTGTATGTCCATTTAAAGTGGTAATTTTCAACACAGGCAGGTTTCGATTGTTATCGTAAGTGTCTGAAGTGTCTCTTTACTTTTCATTTGATCTGGTCTGTTTGCTATTGCCTCATCAAGCTAAAGTCTCTTTCTGAAACATCACAAGATGTCACTTGTTGCAGTCAGACAGCAGTGGTAGCATGAGTGGGATTTGGAGAGAGTATAACAACTGGAGTAGTTTATAGAAAATGTAATTTAGTTTTGTCTAAAAGATTTTCAGTATCATGGATCATCTTTTAGCTGATTTCAACAATGTGGCTCAGGCCTTTAAATTTGATCACCACCCGTGTTTATGTGTGATGGAGTATATGCATGAAGAGAGGATGAGGAGAGAGAGAGACAAAAAAAAGTCAGCAAAGGTTTTTATTTTACTTTTTACATACTCATTACTTCTTGCTGATGCCACTTGTTATCACAATATCTCCTTTGGTGCTGTAATGTTGCAAGTTTCCCTGCTGTGGGAATAACAGATGATTATCTTATTAGAAAAGACAATGTATAGGGGCTCCTGCAATAACTAACATTACCATTGCCATTTATTGCAGGTAGGTATCTCCTTGATGTATAGGAAGGGCAAATGTAGGCAGAAAATATCATAAAAATATATTATATGTCATATAATACCGAAGCATTAATATAGTTTCCACCATCTCATGATATTGCAGAGGAAGACTTTTGCTTTAGGAGGCAATAACAATCAGATCAGATCAAGTGAAAGGTAAAGAGTCACTTCAGACACTTACAATAAGAGTCTGAGTCTGTCAGTGGTGAAAATAACCACTTTTAATGGACATACAGTGGCGATGTTCAGTTGCCCTGTGTACTTCCGTTGCAGCTCGTTCCGCAGCCGCTGGCCGCTGACCGCTGCCTGCTCACTCCATACTTGACCAATTTCGAAAATTGTTGTTCACATTAATCTCTTTGATGAATTTACATGGGGAAATAGGGTCCAGGTTGAAAAATGCTGAAGTTATCCTGTAAGTGCTTTTACACCACATAAAGTAGCCCAGCAGCTAGTAAAGTCACTGCATCTCCTGACAGGACAGCACGGTTCATAATGTTGCTGCCAGAAGTTAGCGAAGTGAGATTCTCGGCCAGGCAGGTATGTCGTGTGTCCTTAGTATTTTATCTCATAACAGCATTGTTTACATACGGCATGTATTTTGTCTGTGGACCTGTATTTTTCCGAAATCCAATTTCCTCACTGCTCATTTATTGCGGAGTAAATTACATTACGTTGTCTTTCTCTTAGCTGCTTGCCAGTATCTACCTGATCTGTTTGACGGTAACCCAGAATTTCAAAATAAAGGCGTATCATAAAGATGATGGTATGGATCAATGTTTTAACTTTGCATTAGTGATATTGGATCATCAATGGACAACCCCAGTATATAATGCGATTGCCATTGCAGCATATTTTGAAAAAAAAAAAAAAAACATTTAGCGTCTAAGTTATTTTACCACAAGTCTCATTTCCACTTCATGGCACAGCCTGATTTGAATCAACTTGCTGGAACCGTTTAGTTTTGGTTTTCCATCAGCAAAAATGGCATGGGTATATATAAAACTAGTGTCACCTCAGGGCCAGGCTCCAAGTGAGCTGATAGAAGGTTGAGTTAAAACATTGCAGACCACTGATTGGTCAGAGAACCTGTGCTGGGGAGTTTACTTTTGACACGTAATAGGTTACAGATTTTGATTTCAGAAGAAAAATATTGTTGAATTTCCAGCACTGAAAGGCATTCTTGTCCGATGACATGGCCAGCCGCCTTGGTGCAGTTGGCTGGTCATGGTCATCATGGGCGACTTTGGTTGCAGAGGTTGCCATCTTACCCTTGATGATGTTGCCCTCATATCTGTCCCTATGGCTTTGCTGACCTGTGTTTACTGGAAATATGCCAGAAGCAGCAACCTGCACAAAACTTTTTAATAGCTGAGCTACCCTCAATGACGACTGCTGTTGTTATTCAGTCAACCCATATAAAAAAAAAAAATGCCAGCCTGCAAAACCTCTGTGGTGTATGGACAGAGTGCATCACTCTTTTTGACTGCCTATGAAAGGGTCCAGTGAAACACAGAGCAACAGGCACTATGATTTGCAAAACCTGTGTTGGCGCGTCACAATAAAGTAGGCTGAACCCGGTGAAAGCATGGATTCCAGAGAACAAGCTGCAGCTGAAAACCTCGCCTACAAAGTGAAAATGACTTCTAACAGGACTACAACTGCAGAACACAGACACAAGTGAAAGCATCCCGGGGTTCTTTGTCAAGACAGCAGCAGAAAGCACCATCCTGTTTACTTTTTGTCCCCACCCAGGCATGATATATCAGGATTATCAACACGTGTAGCATGTTTATGTTAGTAGTAGTCACTTTGACTTTCTGCAGCAAGGCTAATGATACCGCATGCATCATCTAATGTTGTTATTCAGATATTTTATATATTTTGTTTACTGTAATGGGCATGCACGACTGAGGAAACGGCTTAAACTAACATTACAGTCTGTTGTTATAGTCTGTGACTTCTACAGTCTGTAAATCATTTCAGTTATTTCCCTCGCCCCACACTGATGCAAAAATACATTTGCCAGTAATTATCTTAGCTGCATATTGCTCCAGTGATGAAGTAAATCCATGTCACAGCCACTTTAAGTTTTAAATCGAGTAAAGTTCAGATTCTCCAATTAAGGGAAAGGATTGCTATGATATACAGTGATTGAATTAATGTATATGTTACAGCAGTGCCCTTGAATTTGAGGTCCAGTAATTTCTCATCAGGTATCTGGCAGATAGGGCCTGTTGTTATTATTATTAATATTATTATAGAGGATGATTGCATAAAATATTAATGAGACCAGTTTCGTTATTCATTTTTGGGTTATTTAAATGTTCTATTAATCAAGTAATTAAAAAATAATATTTAGAATAATCAGTAAATTAGTCATTAGAGTACTCGACTAATTGAAAAAAGACTTGTTAGGTGCAGCCCTAGAGAAAAGCAACTGGTACCAAAAGTAAGTCAAGTAGAGTAAAGTTGAGCTGAATCATGCAGTGGAAATGAGGTGTTAATAATGTGTGTATCTTTCCCAGAGTTCAAGTCATGTCCATTTGATCTCGACAGTCTAAAATCACAAACTTGCCTCAGAAGGCTTCACAACATACATTTTTGACAAGATAGAACACAGTTAATAATAAGACTTTGGATTCAGAAAAGGCACAACAATACAGAAAAGGTCAGGTCAAGGACTGGAAAAAATACAGGAGAGATCCTCCTCTGTTGGGACAGAGGGACCCACGACTGCAGTATATGGCCAGTGAGGGTGATCCTCTAACTTGTCTGACAAGCGCATAATTTTAAGTAAAGCAAGTACTTCTCATTTGATAACATGTGCTTATTATGTGTTTTTAACATTGTTTTAATTATATTTAATTCAGTGACAGCTGCTTTTGTGATGAAGTTTTTTTTAAAAGAGGTTAATTGGTAAACACTTGTTTATTCAACTTAAGTTCACCAAAAAGTAAAATGTTTAGTTTAGCACAGTAGTAGGCAACCTGCAGGTCTGGTGC